AAAATTAAACGTAGACTATTAGTGTTTGTAATATTTGTTTACTTGCTTGTAGTTAATGTTACAAAATGTTTAATTAAGTAAAAAGTACAATGAATGTAACATTACTTGAAAAATAAAAAATAAACCTTTCAAATGTTTTCATTTAGTATTTTTAAAACATCAATTTCAAAGTCGAAGAGAAAATATAGTCTAGTACTCGCGTAGAATGGTTATTACTCACTCGCTCCTACGTCGCTCGTGTCGTAAATATCAACTCGTGAATAACAGCTGTCATTCTACGATCGTTGAAGAATATACTAATTCTGTTTCAAGAAATCGTTCATAATCGGACATTTTACGGCAGTATTCCAACGTATGGATATGAAGATAGAGTAATGACAAAAAGCGACAAGTACAGGCAGCAGAAAAGAAATTTATTAGAAGTACTTAGTAGTAGAGTATTCAATATTAGATAAAAGAGGAATGTTGATCAACGGAAGGAATTTCAGGTAGAACCATTGCTTGGCCAGCTGGTAACCAGTAACAGAAAATGGTGTGAGCACCTAACAAAAATTCCAAGTAGCAGACTTGCAGCGTTGGCAATGCAATATCGACCGAAGGGGGGAAAAATATTGGGAGACCTCGAGCATATTAGTCACCGCAACAGTTTGAAGAACCTAATCCTTGGCAAGAAGAAGAAGGCCTTTCGAATGCGATAATTTAAAACTATTTCTTGTTGGAGTGAAGGTAAATTTAATATTCAAAGGCATTTCTTGAAAACCACGATTTGGAATGGAGATTTTGCATTTAATGAGAGAATAAAACGTTTTGAACAGAAGTATTGTTTGTTAATTAACAGTATTATAAATTTATTACTTTATTTTTTATTAAATACAATTAATTATATTTAATTGTTCCTTAACAATCCCTTTTCGAAATATTTCGTAATTATTTCTCTTTAGAAGACGTTATTTGTATAGTTACGATTCAGCTTTCAGTGTAAGACGCGGAACACATTTCAGAGGAGAAAAATTAAGTACGAAAATGTACCTACTATACAGAATGTCACAGAATAAATGTTACAAGCAATGTTACAAACAATGTTATGGAGAGGGGTTGGAAACGATTGCTTTTTGCCAATGAATATCTAATGGAAAATTTCATGGAGTTACACATATGTCATGCCCCTGGTTGTCAAGGAACACACGGGTGTTCGGAAAGTCACGTTCTGATACATTCAAGGAGATTTCTTGTACTCGCCGAACATCTGTGCATACGGAGCGGCCCAACAATGAGATGAAAATAACACATGTGTAACGCGCGATCACAGTGGTGACGATCTGGGCTCGTCGTTTTGATTTCGGTGGGCCGTCGACGGACGCCAATCGGCGATTGAACGAAGATCTGTTTCGATTGGTTCTGTCGGTTCCATTCGTCCGAAATAAACTGGAGAGTCAAGGCCTTCTGCAAAACAAACGCCATCTACAATACATGTAGATGGTTTTGGTGCAATAACGTAATTAAAAATCGTTCATTTGTTGGTTTCATTCAATGAAACACTTTTGAGGTGCGATAATCAAAAACTATTTCTCACTGGAGTAAGGCAAATTTAATTTTCAAATGCATTTCTGGAGAACCGCGATTATTGGAATGGGGGTTTTGAATTTAATGAGAGAACAAAACGTTTTGAACAGAAGTACGTTAATTAAGAATTGTTTGTTAAGAATTTTTTAATTATCAGTGTTATAAAGGCTCAAGGCGGATAAGCTGGTAAAAAGTGTCTCTGCTTGAAATCGAAAAGAAAATCTTTATTAAGGATTTTGACCACGAAAAACGTCTTTTCATGGACGTTTTAGATTCCTCCAACCCTGACATCTTTCGTGATAACGAAAAATGTGTGTTTTTTTATTTTCTTTTATTGAATTGACCGTATACATTTCTGTGGAAAATAATGCTTTTTTATGTGAAATTTACTCACTCTTTCAGAAATAATTTTTAAAATTGTATTTGCCGCGAAATTCAAACTTTCAGATGGATATATATTTTTTTTTTTGGAAAGTTTTCATTCCGCCGGTTGCACGAGAAAATTCTCATATGTTGCCCTAATAATTAGCTATCTTCTGAAATATTTTCATATTTCTCTGATTGGTATGCCATGTTTAAAAACATTAAAATACACATGGGTGTTCCATTTTGCGTATTTTCATGTAGTATACACAACTGCATAGAGGTATGTAATTACAATATTGTTTTGTTTTCTAATGACAATATTTGCAATATTAAAAAGCTAACATCAATAATTTTTTTTTGTTATTTACGTCGGTAATTACGCGCTTATCTCCTTAGCAACCAACCACTTAAACAAGCATTAAGAGCGCGTCCATAACGTCCGCAAAAATGCTCGGCAATCCATTACAAATATTTTTGCGAACACTCGGGTTTATATTTTACCAGTGCTCATAAATTATAGTATAAATGTTCCTCTTATCTCCCCTGTCCTTTTTGTCGCATTCAGCATCTTTTGTCCCCATGCCCCATTTGTCCCCCTTGTCCCTTTAGTTCCACTTGCCGCCCTTCTCCGTTTGCCTAATTGGCTCATTTTGTCCTCTTGTCTCATTTTGTCCCGACGTCCTCCGTATCCTATCTTGTCCCCTTGGCCTATTTTGTCTCTGTGTCCCATTATTTCCTTATCCCATTTTGTCCCGTTATCTCATTTGTCCCTTTGTTCCTTTGTCCCCTTTGTCTAATTAGTCGCCCTTTGATTATTTTGTCCCGTTCTTCCCCTACTCCAATTTTGTCCATTTATTCCCATTGTCCCTTGCCCTCTTCGTCCTCCTTTCCCCGCTTTGTCCCACTTGTCCCCCTTTGTCCTTTTGGTCCTTCCTTCGATTGTTAATCTACAACGGTTTCAAGACCCTATAGCAACAACCCTTGCAACAGAACATCTAGAGTAATGACAATTCCTAACGCATGAAAGTGTTAAATGTTTATTTGGAATAATTAGAAATAGCAACGGAAAAACATCGTATGTAATACGTCCTCCTTTGCCGTCCGCCTTTGAGGCCGGAAGGTTTAACCCGCCCCGCCTAGCAGTTAACCTTCCGGTCTCGTCCTTAAATACTAATTTAGAGGACTTGATACATAAATAATTATTGTCAATAATATTTTGACCGGTAGGTAAAGAAAATATGATGTATCAGTTATTTATTTTTTTAGTACACACCATTACATTTAAAGTCCTCAAAACATTCTCACCTAAATCGAAGTTAATTCTCTATAATTGATAATTTTTCGAACTTCTGAAGTAATTAAAAATAACTTTTAAAAATTGTTCTCCCTCTGATATGTTTATATGTAACAGTCAAAAGATAATTGATGAAATTATTTATTGATATTAGCTTTTTAAGAAATGTCGTTAGAAAACAAATAATATTGTAACTACATCCCTCTATACAGTTATATACATATATATATATATATATATATATATATATATATATATATAAATATACATATTATATATATATATATAAATATACATATTATATATATATATAATATGTATATTTATGTGTGTATATATATACATGTATATAAATATGCAAAATGTGACAAAAAATATGTACTTTAATTTTTTTAACATGGCAAATCAGTCAGAAAATCTGAAAAAAGTTCAATAAGATAGCTAGTTTTTAGGGTAATATTTGAGAATTTTCTCGTGGACCCGGCAGGATAAAAGCTTTCTTGGAAAATTCCAACGTTTTAAAATCCATTTAAAAGTTTGAATTTCGCGGTAAATAAAATTTTTAAACTAATTTTTGAAAAATTGAGTTAATTTCACACACAAAATGATAATTTTTTATGGATAATTCATTTTCATAGGTTCAATTCAGTGAGCAAATATAAAATAAAACATGTTTTTCGTAATTACTAAGGATGTAAGGGGGGTAGAATCTAAAATTTCCATGCAAAAATGTTTTTCGTGGTCACAATCCTTTGGAAATATTTTGTTTTCGATTTCAAATGGGGGCACTTTTACCATATTATCCAGCCTTCATTACTTTTTGTTTCATCTGCAATACCACGCACGTTCCATATGAAATACATGAAGATGGTCTTCGAGCTTCACGCAAATTATTAAAAAAAATATAAGCTGTGGAATTGTGGGAATTTTAGTGACGATTTTGGGTGCAGCAGTCGGAAACGGATGAAATAAATGGGCGTTTTGGAATGAAATAAACGGGACAATGCCATTCGAAGTCGTCCGGTAGCGAACGACCTACACTTCGGCTGCACTTTGACCGCTGCTAACTCCATTATATATTTCCCACTGGCCAAACGTGGTATCCTCTACATGCCCTAGAAATTTGGAACATTTGTTTTGAGTAACGTTTAACTGCTATTCCACCGCGGCTCCTACGGACTATCAGCATAGTCCTGCGCTGCCTAATTCACGAGAGGTGGGGAAACTTTATCTCTGGGACCCTCAACCCCCCACAGGCCTCCTTTTTCTATTACACTTTTTTTACAATCGATTTATTTTTACTAGTAAATAAAAAAAATATAATTCAAGCAAAATGAAATAATTTTAAAGATACAATTACACAATTGGTTTTAAGTTGAACCATTTTCAAGGTTGCTAGTTTGTTTGAAGAGCCTCTTTCCCAAAGGTTATGTAACAAATTGTCAGCTCCAAAAGGTGGAAAATCGCGATAAATCATTGATCTTATTTACGAAAATACAATAATTACCTAGGATTATGGAGGCTCTTTCGAAATTTTCAAGAGGACTACGGGCCCCATGCCCCTCCACACACGCATATGCCTATAAAATTTGAATGACTATGATCGACCAAATGTCGCTGACGGAGTAGGCTATTACGTTTTTAAACAATTTACCAAGATAAAACATGCCGATGTCAATTCTAATGGATTCCCCCGATTGGATATCAGTGACCTTTCTTCTAACTCACTAAGGGTAGAGAAATTTTAATAGAATAATAATTGTTGCAAAAATTACGGTCTTCACGGTTAGGTTTACAGGCCTTTGAACTGTTCAAAGTGCAATGTTCAGAAGCAGAATCATAACGTAGATAAAATGATAGATAAATGAAAAGAAACTGTGACTTTGGAGTACGATCAAAGTCAAAAGTAACAGCCTCTTATTGTTGATTCAAAGCAGTACATTAAGTCACACAGTGATGTAACAATCGGATTATTTAACTAATTGAACTTAGCGCAGCGTAGTGGTGAGATACTGAACTTAAAGAAAAAAAGCCGAAGAGTATACCACAAGCTGTGGCTGTGTCCATCTGTGTGTGTGCCTGTTCGTGTGTCTGAGGTCATTGGTCAGCTGGGAAGTCTGTGTGTATTTGTGAAACAGCAGCGGAACAGCAGTCGGTGGATTGTCAAATTAGGTAGGTTGGATATTTTCGTTGTAGTGGTATATTAATTATTGTATTTCGATGAGCATGTTTTCGTAGGACCTTAATTTCTTTTTGGGAAAGGCACCAAATGGAAATGTCGACTTTTTATTTTTGTGTTAAGAATAGAATGGTTAAGTTAAGTAATGAACTACTTTGAGCTCTTACATACCGGTTATTTGACCTTGAAGATTCGTGAAATGTTTATGTGGACATTGACGTAGAGGTAAAGTTATCCTTTTTAAGGATTTGACAAGAAAAATAAATAGTGCTTATAAACATTGTGATAAAAATACTGTAAATAAACGTTTAGAAAAATTCAGTTAACTTTTTTTATAACAGTATTCAAGTGCCTCCTGTCCCAGGAACCAATGTAATACGAAAATAATTTCCTCTGAACTTTTTGATTATCTTGAAATTTGAGATAGTAAGTTAAAGATTGATATATACTGCATTTTCTGTAATTGCCAGATCTTTATGGGTTTGTAAGTATATTATGAAAAAAACATTTAGGGCCTAATGTTATTGATATGCCTAATATGTAGATCCCAAATTTATATGAAGTAACAATATGTAGAATATGCTGTATAATATGCACAAAGTAGGCAATTCAAAATTTACAGGTCAACAACTATTTTTTACTTAAATGTAATGTAAAACATGTAAAAATGTTGACTGTGGTAAGTATTATGTCTATATTACATGGTTAAAACATGAGCAAAAAACTGTTGAGAGGAAAACATGATTTGAAAACCATTTTAGATTTACAAATTAATTCAGATAATCAGTTAACTGTACCCTAAATGCTGCCTTATTAGTTCAGCATGTTAGAATAATTAGAGAAGTGGAATTATGGAAGTGAATATAACTCAAGAGATATTGTTTTGAAATTTTAATTTGTTGAGGATGAGGAACAAGAAGTCAACACTCACTCTCACTCAACACTCACTAAGGGCAATTTTCTGTGAATAACTGATGCATGGGTACCTTTAATTCATGACAAAAGCCTGTGATAAAGTGTTATTTAAGTTCAAATTTTTAATAGATTGTGTAGACAAATTTTGTGTCATCTTTCAGATTGAACAGCTTCGAAAAGGTTTAAGAAAACACCTCTTTTTCATCATCTGAAATGTAGGCAATTTTTTGTATTAAACTAGTACACTTCATTTTATTATCTTTTTCAAACTCGTGTGTATCTTTGACCTTTTACAGCCAATGAAACTTGGTTTTAAAATAAAATCTCTTCACACTTACAATAGCAAGCTGTTGCTGTGCAACTATGAATTATGTTATTCCCCAACATTTACAAGGAATACTGGTATTCTTACTTCAAAGTTTTATTTTTATCTCTTATTCCATATTACTTCTACTTATTCTACACATTAATTGAAATTGAAATACATTAATTATAATAAATACAAAAAAGTTGCATTTTCTCTAGTTTTGACTTAATGTTTTCAAAAATCTCATCTGATATACAGAAATCTTCAATTATGTAAAATAGAATGGTTAAAAAACTGTATACAGTGTATATTATTTTCTAGCTAATAAGTAACACAATTGTTATATGCATTTACATTGAAATCTGGGCTTTATGTATAACTAACAAGATTAAGTGCAGTCTGTAACAGTTTAAAGTAACTGTTTTATATCATCAAATTGTATTTCAATTGAAAATTTATAAATATACTGAGAAAACTAATGAGTTTCTGTATGTTTATGATTGTGCTAGGTAATAAGAGTACAATGGCGCCTTAGTATCAACATTGTGAATTGGAATCTGTGAATATCAACAAAAAATAATCAAATGTCAAAATGTGTGAACTAACACTACTATTTAGTAGTAACATGTAAAAGGTGGCTTAAAATTCTTGAATCTCAAAAACTCAACTTAGAAAATTGGGTACATTGTCATAACTCATTCTGAGTTATTCTTGTGATCAGAAATGGCATTTGTGAGCCAATGTGAAATGGCATCTGAGCATAAGCATCATGTTTTTGAAATGGGAAGGTAATTGTATTAGTATCCATTATGGAAGTAATTTTTGATAGATGTGAAGTTGATCCAAACGTGCAAAGAAAATCCATTCCAATCCCCCAAAATTCTGTATGAAAATAATACAAATGTGTACTTGTTAAACATGATGTTACAAGAGACTGTTGTTTAATTCTTCTTAATTTGTTATTATATTTTTATAATTAATGTAAAAATTAATTCATTAGAAATGTTGTGAGAGGAAGGAAACAGTTAATGGGATGCCAAAGTGAAAACCCTGCAATCTATTACTGAGATGTTATGCAGTATGCACCGGCTGAGATGGCTCGGCGCCAACAACCGCTGCTGCGTCTGTGACCGTGAGGTGCCACCGTTCGAGTCTCATGGGGGCGGATTCTCGACACCACTTATACAAGCTGGCTCGATTTCAGCCGCCGTCGAGAAGAGTTCTGGCAGTCAGCTGTTTTTCGCGTTTCTTTTGATCAAATACTAAACTGCAATTGATGCAATTCTGCCCCTGGCAGGTATCCGCTGTCACTGTGGTGGCGTTCAAGCTCTCGCTTGGGTGAAACTGTCAACAGCTGATACATGTCAGGGGCAGAGTTGTGAAAATCGCAGTATATTCTTGGGTTTTTATTCCGCGGCACGAGGCGGCGTGTCTTCACGACGGAACATCTCACGGCAATTCGCGTCTTTCTGGGTCGTGCCGCTAGATGTCGCATAGCACTGCTCGATAAGGTCGCGGTCATGTGACATCTAGTGTTTATATCTAGTCTTTTTATCACTGCACTCGAATTGAGATCAAATACCGCTGCCAATAAAACTACTCTTGGTAGAGGAGGGCCCAAAGAGGATGTACACTGCAGGAAGTGCAATACAGCTATAGAAACCAGGAATCACATTCTCGGTCAGTGCATTTTTAAGAAGACAGCGAGAATAAAGCGACATGACGAGATCAGGAACTTCATAGAAGGGGAAAATGCTCAGGAAATCGGACACCGTGGTGTCCACGGAAGCCACGTTCTCCGAAGGGGTTAGACTCAAACCTGACCTGGCAATAAAAAGACGGGAAGTCCTCGTGGTCGATGTTACTGTCCGCCACGAGAATGTGTCTGGCCTTCTGAAAGCAGGGGAGGAAAATGTGATAAAATACCAACCAGTCATCCTCCTGGCAGCCCAACTTCATGGAGTACCCAACACCAGAATCCTGCCAGTGGTGGTTGGAACCTGTGGAGCTATGCCAAGGTACACAGGCAGTGCCCTCAAGATCCAGGGGATCACGTCTCGAGGCGATCTACTGACTATCACGTTAATTGCTCGCAGAAGCTCTATTAAACTCTACACACAATTTGTAAATTACGATGGAGCAATTAAGCATTGCTGATAGTAAATGCAAGAAAGGAACATCATTGTCCCGTGGGGAACCCAGGAGATCCTAAAATGCCTAGGAATTACTTTAGTTACCGCGACTTGGGAAGAAGTATACCGAAGTGGGAAGTGTATGCTATTTAATGTAGCATATAGAAAATTGTGTAGTTAAAATCCACATTTTGTGGGTCCTTGATACGGAAAAAGTGGTCGATGGCAAATCGTGTTCTTCAACGTCAAATCCTTAAATAAGGACATGTAAAATATTTCCAAACAATTGGGAATTTTTCGCGTAATTTTGCGTGAAATATAGGCAGTTTTTAAAAAATATTTCCTCCAAAACTGCAGAAAAAAAATTCTTTAAATTTATTCTTCATATAGTAAAGGACGCTTAAAAATGGCGCAGGCCTCATTTTCGTTGAACTCTCTGAAATTTGAAACGTTACACGTAATTTGAGAACATATTCTGTTGTAGCTCTACTACTTTTTATGGGTTTTATGCATCAGTTTGTAAGGTAAAGCCTCGCAGCAGATGATAGTTCAATAGAGATAGCCTAAATGCCGAGATGATCATAGGAACTTGCCCTGATATGCCGCCTCATCTCGCGCAGCTCCACTACCAAGACCTGATGCTTTTGCTTCTCAGAAATGGGTACGTCAGTATTTCTGCTTGAGGGGACAGCAGTGTCAACAATAAACCCATTTCGGACTAACTTGACGACCTACTACGTCTAGTCTGCTGGCTTCTATTAATGGTGATTGCAGTTTTTCGCAAGCGCTTGTAACGTTCTATTCCCAGTAGTCAGACTTAACCTCTAATATGGGACCACTTTTTCACTCATTATTTTTTACTTTACGGTCAGGTCCTGATGGACCACCGCAACGTCGTGCCTGGTCAGGCATTCTGTGTGTGTTGTAGCAGAGCTCCCAGCCGTTGATCTGTCTCCGTTTACAACGAAGTCGGCGGAGTCCCTCTACACTCAAATCGTCAATCACATTTAGCTAACAATTGCCACCTCCTTTATGCAAATTTCTGTTAATTACTTTACGTATAAGTACGTAAATACGGAGTATTATACGTAGTATAGGGAAAGTTATGTAATACTGAGGAAAATCTATTTCGAGATTTCAGCGGAAATACACGTTTTGGGGTCCCCTGATACAGAAAAGGTGTGCATCACTAGCGCTTAAACCATACGTAGAATTTTTTCCAAATTGAGGTCCGGCGTTCGGTATTGAACCGACACCTTTCACAGTCTTGACGCCCGGCGCCCGAACGTGTGTTCGTAATAGCATTATTGACATTCCGCGCTGTTATCAGCAGAATCAGAAGTGAACGACATTAATAAGTTCAAGTACTATTCTCCTTTGGAATTTTCCGTTCTGGTCAAAGGCGTGGAACACGGCTAGTGGAGGATTTGCGTTTGATGCGTTTTTAAAAATATTAACAAGTTTAAAGAACAAATTCCAATTGACTGTGACGTGGGGCTTGCGTGTCGGCTTTTCCAGCAGCTCTTCCTAACTTCTGAAGATTTTTTTTTCTTTTCTTTCTTCCATATTCAGAGATGTGCTCTCTCCACCTGGCATAATATCCCCACTCCCGTCACATACTTTCCTTGCAATCTAGTTCCTATTTGTTAAATTCCAGTTTTCGTGTTATTTTAGGGTATTAGGTCAATGGTGTAGCGATGTCCGTCGGCACCCGGAGCTGGAATGCATGGTGTCACCCCACCCCCACATCCGACCGATTACACTGTCCACGCCTCTAAATATTATATAACATCAGTGGCGTAGCTAGTTGGCTTCACCTGGAACAATAGATATGTTGTGTCTCCTCTAAATTCAATTTCATAATTAGCATTATATAGTACTCCACATTTTTTTCTTTTATCCAAAAAGAAAATATGTGTATTGGGATGTCAACATTATTTCGAACTTAAGATAATTATGTCGATGCGCAAAATGCAAATGTTAGGCTAAAAATAGTACTCCATTCATAACCTTTTATTAAAAATACTGAATTCAAGTATGAAATTTTCGTTAAAATTAACAAATGATCTGTTCTATTAAAACTTGTAATTAGCATAATTTTCAGTTGGTGTAACCCATAAATTAGTGTCACGTGGGGCGAACCGTCCTTCGTGCCTCTCCCCCACTACCTATGCCGCTGCATAAGGTGTTTCCTGATACGCCCAGCCCAACACGCGTGCTGCCAATGCTGCCTCACAAAAGTCCCAATTGGCAGAGTTTGAATATATTTCCGTGTCTTGAAACATACGCCCTCTTCGCATGCTTATTTTGTCTTTGCGCCGAACTTCCATAAACTCCTAACTAAAGGCGTACAGATGTTATGGCCAAGGCTATTTTCTTTAAATGATCGCTCTGGTGTTTGTGTACGCGACGTGCATGTGTACTGGGAACCGCGGCCTGAGTCCTCCCCAGGAGACTTCTCCACCCATCTCTTCGCCTCTCGCTGTCTTCCTCGACCGAGCGCCAACACTTGCATATTTATGCGTATTTATTTTACATAAAAAATGATTAAAACCTGTGTGTGGCGTACTATGGAAAGAAGTGCATTCTGTGGACGTTTTCTTAAATTCTCGGATCTCTACCCTAACCCATATTCAAGTTGGTGTCTAAATACAGATGAAAATGAGCGCTTTGTCAAGAAAAATGTCTCCAGTGAAATAAAAATATTTGCAAAGGTAAATCAGCTATAGATTTGGGCTATTATCCCTCATCGTGACATTCGCGAATGAATAGATTTCATACGTGAGAACATGGAGAACGATAATTTGAATAATTATATTTCCTACAGAACTCTGGATGACGTGCACAGATAGTGAAGATACATTTATGTCCAGAAGCAAAGCAAGAGGCCATCTCAGAATTCGCGTATTAAATAGGGAGAGTCTTTGTGAAGGCCCCTTTGAGGTTGATGCATGTGCAAATTCGTCGACTTCAGAAATTTTGCGATGACTTTGCTTGGCTTGATTGACTATGATGTTGATCACTGTCAATAGTCCTTTGCTGCCTTGAGCATTCTTTCTGCAACGATTTTGCTGTGGACCGGAAGATTTTTGGCTTCCAGAATACTGGCTAGCGCAGATGTAAAAATCTATAATACTGTGATATGTTGTTTATTGGAATTCTAAGGGTCATCGGACTTAACCCTTTGGTACAATATAACATAATAGTTTCGTCGTTGAAATCTCTTGGCCAGATCTGAATGGATACACAGGACATTTTCAACCAAATGTTTTGGAAACCGAAGATACTTGGTGCTTTCCACTTTTGCGATTATTATTGTTATTGTTCTATTTTTAATCATTGTCTTTAACTGCCTGCCTTCTGGGCGTTCACATTTGCGATAATTCTATCCATGTATGTGAATTATCAGATAAAGATTTTTTAAAATGTTCTAACTAAACCTCAACGAACATTTAAAAAAATACAAGTATTTGTTAATATAAAATTAAAAATAGTCTTAATAAAATGTAATGCCAAGTGAATCCAAGTTAATGGTTGAATTAGTCTCACTTATACTCGATTTACACGCTTCTTTTTTATGAACAATTTCCTAGCATAGGGAACGCTCTCATACGCAGTGTTGCATCTGCTTTTGGGTTCTTCGCGTAGTCTCGTTCCGTAAAACTCCGAAATCGTTCGTCAAAAGGAATCTTGTAAATCGAGTTTTAAAGACATTAGACTTTACAATTTAGATCAATTCTGAATAACGTAGATTAGAGTTATAGGCAGACTTTATTTACAGTATTGGAAATTAAACTACTTGTAAAATATAGCATTCTTTTGATATGGAAGAAAGCTGCAAAAAGGGAACGCAGCAAACGATCGCACGATGATATTTCGCCTGTAGATTATGCTCGCTTTACACGCTCCCTTTCGACGGACGATTTCGAGTGTTGGCGAACGGGCGCATGCGTAGAGCGACTTTTGGGTGGCAGAGCTGCGGTGCGCACGCGCACGTTCGCTAAACCTCCAAAATGTTTCTTCAAAAGAAAGCGTGTAAATCGGGCCGCGAAGCTTAATAAATACTCCTTTCTTGATGCATAAACTTTGCACACACTTTTGTCATGTTTCTGCTTCCTGGCGCTTAATTACTACTAGTTTTGTTTGTATTGCAGATTTATTTTTCAGACTAAAAATGGCTTTGAAGAGCAGCAATTTGTTAAAGCAGTTATTTAGACCTCATCACTTACTTAAGTATGGCCAGACACCCATTGAAAGATTTGCAAGTGGTATTCCTATTGTTTTCCACCGCAAGGCCTCTTCTAGTGACAAATTAGTTGACATTGCTGTGGATGATAAAACAGGTAAAATTTATTTTTAAAAATGCATGTTCTAAATAATTAATGTGTCGTATAGGTGAATGTAGGCAACAAATACAAGCCTGTAACATTTTTCACAAGACCTTTTTTCACTTGCTCGTATTCATTCAGAATTTCAGTGCGTTGAGAGAAGTTGTTTTCCTCAAAACTTCTGTATATGAACAAGACAAATTAAACGTAGCCTAACGTCTTAACAGTACAAATAATTTTAACGAAAATGAATACACAGATGGATCTGCATCATATCGCAGCCCTTCGAATTTGAAGCGGATGTTGCTTTTTTTAAGTTTAATGGGTTTCATGAAACCCTTAGAACACTATCGAATTTTATACAGCTAGAAAAGTTTGATTAACAACACGATATAGATCGGCCCGATTTTCATTAAATTCTGGAATTTCGAAAATATACCGAGTGCTTCAAGGCACTCTTGGCATCAGGAATTCCTTACTTACAATCCCTAGCGCCCAGGTCCGAATCTCAGCCTGGCTAACTTTTCCCCCTTCAATATAGAATACAGTACACAGAAATCAAAGGCAGAAAGCAATTTTCATGAAGGTCTTTGACTTTTCAAAAAATCAAAATTGTCTGTGTAGCTCGTAGACAGCATTGCTGCTGGCTGTGTATTGACTGGCCAGAATGCCTTAGAATTCAAGTTCCCGAAGTGGTGGATTTCCGACACTATCTCGATGGAATTCTAAGAATTCTGTTTTCAGGAGGATTAGCGGCCGGTTGCTACAATCAGTAGTTTCTCGTGGTTTCTTCGATCAGTAGCAGGCGAATGCCGGGGCAGTACGCTAACAGGCGGGGCGTAGATTACGCACGATCTTTCTTTCCTCTCCTTTACTCACGCACACTTATATGCACAACATTATCACACACGTCGGGAGCCTAGAGCTAGGCAGTGTCCCGCGGGGGAGATACCTGGAGGGGAAATTCCCTGACAGCCGACATATAGGTCGGCGCCAGATCTCATCGTCCAGTGGGAGAGGAACACCGCCACTTCCCAAGATAAAAATCACTACGCCAACGGGGCTAATGACCGTAGCAGTTCGTGTATCCGGAAACAGCACTCTATAAGCCCTGCTATTTTAAATACGCTTCAGGATCTTTTCCTACATTCATTGTTTTCTTTGTAACTTGTTGACTGTGCTACCTATCCTATCATCCCTTGTTCTTTATTTGCATGCCTTTATTTACTTCTCTATGTATCTTTGGAGTATCTGTGTTTTCTTTCTCGTTATCTTCTACTGGCACCCCTCTTCTCCAGTCCTCACATTCAAGTCTTCCAGAAAGAAAACCTATAAAAGAGAACAAACACCACAGAGAAACGTCCTGTACAATTGTTCGAAGAAAAAAGTTTTCATGTAATTATGGGTGAAATATTGGCAATTTTTTAACAATTATTTCCCCAAAAGCTGTTCCATTTTTTTCTTGAAAAGAGCAAAGAACAGTTAAAAAACTGGCGCAGGCCCTTTCTTGGTGAACTCTATATTTGTCGAAATTTACAAACTACTAGTAAAATTGAAAAACTAAAATATTGACGATAGGGATTTTTTCCCTTAGTACTTGTATTTTTTTAACAGATATTATGTACAATTTTTTTAAGAAAACGTATTTTTCGCGTAATTTTGCTTGAAGTAAAGGCAATTTATAATGTTTTCCCGAACGGTTAAAAAAAATGTGCAGGTCTCATTTTATTGAACTCTCTGGATGTTCGGAAATTGCTAAAGTTACGAATAATGCGAGAAAGTATGAGATGTTTTATGTTACAAACGAAGAAAAGCTAAAATTTGCGAATTGACGAAATATGGGGTGCAGATTCATGACAGTCCATATCGCGTGCGGTCCTTTGCTATCTCGCCCGATTTTAACATCCGAATAAAATCAGAATGAAGTGGACATTTCGTGGTCACGTTATAACCTGGGAACAGCGAATCTGAAGCTTCGGAATTTACACATTCTGTCTCCTAAAATTAGGGAGCAAACGTTACGAACAAACTTGTGACGAGTTCCTCAACATTCCTTTCTTCTGAATGCCTTTTTAGTGTTGAATATACGTGGTAGAGCGTGCATAATTCGACAACGCTGCCCTCCTCCACACCGAAATCCGTCAACTTTATTCTAATTTTATTCGCACTATATTATATACACGCACATTACGCTACCACACATGTTGGGAAACGGTCGGGAGCTCGAGCGTGTCTGGGCTGGTGTCGTGTAGGTCGGTATCACCATCCACCGGGGGAAGATCACCGCCACTGCACCTTAAAACATGCACTACACTTGTGGGACCGTTGCAGTTGACGCCCCCTGGAAACACGAAATAATCAGTTATATAAACCATTCTCTTTCCACTTCTTCATACTACTTGAGTATCTTTCCTTAGTCATTTTCATTATTCCCTATTTCATTTCCTTATTATCAACAATCCTCACAATGTTCTTCCTTTCTTTTCTTATTAACTATCTGAATCACTCCTATATATCCTTCTACTTCTTTTCTATCCAGGTCACCATCAGTCCAATTATATTATTTAATAAAACACCAACTTTGTTAATAATTCCTTCCACATTCCAGAAACCTCTCATAAATCCTTTCTTCCACTTTCTTTTCCTTAATTTTTCCTTTTCCCCATAATTACTTTTTCTCTTTTTTTTCGTTTTTTGGCTCACCTCCATCACATTACAGCTTCCCCACTACTCTATTCCATTTCCATCTTTTTGTTTATCTGCCAACCTTTCTCCCAGGTTCTGACTTTCTACTTTCCTATTTTACTTTCACTGCTTCTCTTCTTATTGACAATTTCTGTTTTCTATCTTCAATTACCACTTCTTCAATAACTATCTTCACATCTTTGAGTTTATATTTATTTTTCATCATTTTCACCTTATTCTTCATCACTTTTTCCTCAAATTTGACTTTTAACAATTAAGCAATTTTTTACATATCCATTATCACTACCTTCTCTTCTTCTATTTTAACCTTCAACCATATCTTCATTGTGAGCATAGGTATCCTTTTCTCTTTTTCAAGATCCAGTGTCCAAGTTTTTCAGAAGTGTTTTATATGTTGTATAGAAATGAAAGATAACATTTTTCATAATTCTGCAATGCTTCATCAGGTGGAGACAATAATATTTATACAGTTGAATCTGGAAATAAGTGGTGAGATTGTTCAGAGTGTAGGGAATAATTTAAAAAAATTCATATTCAGTTATAAAATGTTAGCACTAAAAATGTAAAAATAAGAAAAAAATGTGTAAACAAGTTTTACAAATCTTTAATTACCTACACTCTCAACAATCTCACAAAACTTTGTATTTTCAAACTTATCTGTATAAATATTGTTTACTCCTAATGATGTGTAAAAGAATTACGTGAAATGTGTAGTAATTTTATATTTCAAACGTTCTTCTGAAGTAGATTTCCTGATAACATGACACAGAAAATCAGATTTTTGTAATATTGATGTGAATTTACTTTCAGGTATTGCTACTGTTACTCTTCAGAGACCACCTGTGAATTCCCTTAATTTAGAATTGCTAGAGCAGTTTATATCTGCCTTGCAAGCTGTTGAAGACAACAAATCTTCTGGAATGATTCTCACTTCTGTAAGTTCATGCTGATGAATGGGCAGTGTCTGTTGGACAGAAAATGTTGCATTTATTTAAAATTAAAATGTAGCCCATAAATCAGATATGGTAATCAAAGAAGTGTTTATTTTGGTTCCTTAGTTTATAGACTGTAGATTTACAGTGGAAAGGTTAAATTTTAATTCTATTAAAGAAGTCATCAGTTTTATTTCAGTATATGATTGTAATACCATTTAATGCAATTTAATTACTTCTTGCAGGCATCACCCACTGTATTTTCTGCTGGTTTGGATATTATGGAAATGTATAAGCCAAAACCAGATAGAGTCAAGAAATTCTGGACAACTTTGCAGGACATGTGGTTGAAACTTTACAGTTCACCATACCCCACAGTTGCCGCAATTAACGTAAGCAATGTAACCTGAGTTACCCTATATTAAAGTAATTTAACTCAAAACTTTGGCTCAGAAGACTTACCTCAGTAATGGTTATGAAGAAGTATTTGCATCTTCAGAATAAAGTGGGTTTAGTCCAAAATCATGTAATTGTTTGAATGAAAAAAAGTTTATTTTGGTACTGTCATCCAACTTCTTTGATTCTGCTAATTCCTCCAGTAAGTTTAGAAGATCCTTTAACCTTTGAGGAGAGGATCCTAGTCAGAGAATGAAACTGGACTTAAATGAATGAGACAAAAGCATGCAAATCCTTAGATGACCTGTCTCCAACATCACTGGAGCTTTTGCAAGATGTGAAACCTTGTTGGACAGTTGAATTGACAGAACGAAATTTATTATTTCCTGAATCAGGTGTAGTACATCCATTAATATACTTTACCAAATAGATAGTGAGACTCGATCATCACAGTATGACAGTGAGACCAAATCATCAAAGACTGAGCCATGCTGTGAATAAAGATCTTGTCTCCTCCCTCTTCGTTCTGATCTGAATGTCAATTAAGGTACATTGTGGCTGTCTTGTTTGGAGCTCTGTCGAAATATTAACCTTCTGCAGGATGTGGTGGTTCAATTGATATATGTCAACTAGCCTAATCTGCAGTGCAGCCAAGAATGAATCATGTGGGCACACAAGCAGCTGCGTGTGTTGACCACCTCAATTTTTCAGTCTCAGACCCCAGCTGCCATCCCCTCTCTCCTATTCCGAAGGACGATTGTGCTTGACAGTTTCATTTTCACAGACTGACTATTTGGGCTTGATTGAGTGGCAAAGTTTCTCAGTATGAGAGGAATACAGAGGATCACAAAAAGAAAATGAAATGTAACAGAGCTCCCAGTATGTTTGGTGCCATATTATATACTGCAATTATGTTCAGAAGGTGGTGGTGGTGGGGGGGGGGGAGATTTGGGGCAACTTGGCCCAGATTCTGAATTTCTTTTTTTAAATTCAAAACATGTAAAAAAATCCCCCAAAAAAATTGAATTCAAATCAACCATTCTAAGTTATTTCTGTTGCATGGAAATTTTCTTTATGAAATGAGAGAGGGTACTTTTCTTTGAAATGAGAGGCCCACGAGGACCTACTGCTCTAGGTTTCTTGTTTCCATCAAGCACCTTTGTGTAACAGAGCCTCAAGCTTTTCTAACATGGGAAATTTAAATTTCTCCATGCTGACAGAATAAAAGGCTTTAATTCTGCAACATTCTCATACTGCTTCCCATCTTAATATATTCCTCTATAAGATTCCCCAAAGGTTCTCCATGAGGTTAAGGTCTAGAGAAATGGCTGGCCATTTATGACATTTATGTTGTGACAATAAACCCAATTCTTTGTTGACCTGGTAGTGGAACAGATGAATATGGCCCTGCTGAAATATCCAAGCATCTGTACCAACAGGCAAAAGGTGTTTTCCTGGAGATTCTGATTCTGGTAGTATGTGGCTGTCATCCAACCAGTTGGGAAAGCTAAGGATGTTGTCCCTCTGCAACTGAACCCACACCAAACCATTACTGATCGTCCACTCTGTTCTCTTTCCTTTTTCTTCTTTCTTTCTGTAATTATGCCAATAGAAAGAAAATCCATCAGGACCACCCAGATTGAACTTCTTTTCATCACTGGACACTACATTTCCATGTGTATCACCATTCAAATCTTTTTTGCTTATTGGTCATATGTGGTTGTCTTATCTTTTTTTCATTATATCAATCTTTTACTAATCTAGACAAAGGCACATCTTCATGCCAGTCTCTCCTGTTCTGTACTATGGACATTTCTCATACCACAACAAGTGCCCTTTATCCTGCCCTACCCATAGCTGTCCCACAGGCATCAGTGTGTGAAGTATCAGCGGCTGCTGCATGGAGAGTGCTCTATATGTTCAATCAAATTTACGACATGTTCATTTTGTCATCGGTATCCTTTAGTGTGTGATCCTCAGTAAGGCACTGGCTTCTCGAGAGAGATTGCTTGATCGATGACACTCTGTGATCTTTATTAATATAATGATGAGAAAAAAAAACGTTTGCGAGCATTTAGAGTGCTGAATGATGAAACAATGGCTGCCACTCTCAAGTCTGAGCTGCAACTTTTGAGTTCTATCCCAGCAAACTTTGCATGACAGTTTCCAAGTCATACTCAGGACAAACATCAAGTGAGTGATTTGAATTAAAAATAAAAAAAATATTTATATCACATTAAAGTCAGAAGTCAGATTCCATGTCTGCTGCACTTTGTCTTACAGCAAACCACATGTGCCCCCCCCCCCCCCCCC